GGAAACTCGTCCCTGCACCGGGGTTTTCCTCTGCAACAGGAAGCTCTCCCGTGCAATGAAGCTGCAACTTGGCAGGGATAATTCTGGTGCCGAAGCACACACAAAATCATGCCTTTGGGTCATGACACCCACCTCTGTGAGAGGGGACCCTGAGCTCTTGTCTCTGGTCCCCAGCACTGTTGACACATTACACATTAGACAGTCACCAGTTAAAAACAGAAATAAACCTAATAACAGTGATTAGAACCCAGAACTCCCACTCCAACTCGCCAGCTCTTAGTATTTATTCATTTTTTGACCACAGAAAAATAATAGAGCAATTATTCTGTTGGAAAAACTCAGAAAGATCCCAACAGATCAGAAAGCTTTTGACACTATGGATGGATGGATGGATTTGAAATCTCTGGGCTTATCTTGTGTATCATGTTTGCACACCTAACAGTGCTAACATTGTGTGGCATCCCACAGCACCCTTGAGAGGATCTCCAGGCACCTCAGAGTGTTGTGGCACCCTGGTTGAGAATCACTGCACTAGGGCAGTGGTTCTCAACCTTATTTGTACTAGGACCCATCTGGAAACTGATGGCCAGTCCCAACCCAGTAAATAGCTTAAGTAGAAAATGACCCCTCCCCCCGCCCCCGACCCTGCTGGTGGCCCTCACTCTCAACCTTCTGCCCCCACCCCCAGGCTCCAGCCCTCCAGTGTATGGGGTGGGGGTAGGGGAATGGGGGCCCCAAGCAGTAGGCCTGTGCAAAGCGGCTAGTATTCATTTCGGATTCAGATTCAGCAGATTTGTGGAACAGTGATTCGATCTGGTGATTTTAATCACTGTCCTGAATCAATTCGGCCAAATCTGATTTGGAGGTTTGGCTGCTGCCAAATCAGCCGAATCTCCGAATCACACAGGCCCATCCCCCTGCCCACTCTCAATGGCTGCCCTGTCTGACCCCAGCTCCCAGCTCTTTGAAAAAAAAAGTCCCCACTCACCAGCTGCTACTAGGTGGGGGGCAATCCCCGCTGCCCCCACTGCCCCACGACGTGGGGGGGGCTCTGCCATGAGCCCCCTGACCCCTACCCACTCTCCCAGCCCCTCCATGACTGCCCCACCCACCCCAGCTCCCGGCCCTTTAAAAAAAACACAACAAAAAACCCTGGCCTCACCAGCTCCCATGCCCCCGCATAATCCGTGGGTCTCCAGCCGCAGCCAGTGAGTGCGGGGGGCTTGTTTTTTGTTTTTTTTAAGGGCCGGTAGCTGGGGCGGGCAGGGCAGCCATGGGGGGGCTGGGAGAGTGAGCAGGGGTCAGGGGGCTCATGGCAAAGCCCCCCATGCAGTATGGGGCAGTGTGGGGCAGCAGGGATCAACCCCCTGCCTAGCAGCACCTGGTGAGTGGGGCCATTTCTTTAAACAACCAGGAGCTAGGGCAGGCAGGACAGCCATGACCAGCACGGAGTCTGGGTCCAGCTCCCTGCTGCAGCCACCAGGGACTGCCTGAATCACCAAAACTCTCCAAATCTTTTCTGAATTGATTTGGAGAGCTTTGAATCGATTCAGACCTTCTAATTGGTCCTCTGATTTGATTCAGATTTGGAGATTTGGCTACCAAATTGGGTCGAATCGCCTCTGAATCGAATCAGCACCTGAAGCTTCACACAGCCCTACCAAGTAGCCCCAGGCTGGAACTCTGTCAGCCTGCAAGGGAAAACCCATAGTTTCCCAGATTTTTCTCCTTTAAAGGAGAATCAATTTTAAAAGTTTGTTGATCCATTTTTAAAGTTTGTTTGTGACCCTTTCATGTATTCTTGTGACCCACTTTGGGGTCGTAATCCATGGGTTGAGAAATGCTGCACTAGGACATTGAGCAGAGGGTGGCTGCATTAGTAGCAATGGTTTTGAACTGAATTCATCTGGCAGTGTTAGTCATAGCTTTTGTCCATCAGGTGGCCAGGGCCTCTCTGGGCTCTAGGGGGAGTTTGTGCACTTTCAGTAAATGATCTGGATGTTGAAGGACCTTAGATGGTGGTGAAGCGTGCAATCAGGTACTCCAGATCATTTTTGAGAGCCTATGCAGAGAAACTGAAAAGCAAGATAGAGGTGTCCACTAGATCTAGGTATATAATGAGCTTTGAAGATACTGGTGCTAGGCCAATTTAAATAACTCCTTAGGACTGGGCTCCTTAGCAATGGACTCAAGTTGCAGCAAGGCGAGTTTAGGTTAGATGTTAAAAATAACTTTCTCGCTAAAAGGGTAGTAAAACACTGGAACAGGCTAACCAGAGAGGTGGTGGAATCTCCATCCTTGCAGGTTTTTAAGACCCAGCTAGACAAAGCCTTGGGTGGGATGATATAGTTGGGGATGGTCCTGCTTTGAGCAGGAGGTTGGACTAGATGACCTCCTGAGGTCCCTTCCAACCCTCATTCTCTATAATACTATGACTGCGGTGTCTAACTCTCACCTAGGTTCTTATTTGTCTACTGAGAATTTCAGTATAGTTCCAAGAGCAAAACTTTATATGAACTCACCTGATAGTGCTGTAGTTCTAGTTTGAGTAGTAGTGAAGTCATCCTGCACAGAGGATGTGCAGAGGATTAAAGTAAATTCATATATAAATATTAATTGGGCCCATGGGTACAATTCTAATACAAATAGACAACGATAACACTGATGAGTGTATCCCTGATTTCAGTGGGGCTGTTCATTTTGTAAGATACTACTCAAGCTGAGCATGGAATAAAGAAAAAGTATGGGCTCATTGTATTACCATTTTAAAAATAATTTTAAATCAACTCTTTAGCTGTGGACTTTTAGAAATTTCTATTTATGTCCCAGTAAATTCTATACCCTGGTATATCCTTCTCCAACCCTTAAGGCACTGTTGTGCTACAATGTTTTTTATATAAAACGATAGAAAAGAAAGCAAATCTAAATAAAATTATCCTTGGTATTAAAACAAATAAAGAAGAATATACTGACATGCTAGTCAACATAATTGCTGGATAGTAGCTGTTACAGCAGTGCAGGGATGCCTACAGCTATATTTTACAAATTCAAAATTAAATAAATAAATAAAACTATGCAAGAACAGTTTTATTTCTTCCTTCCAAGAATTAATAGGTTCATTTACTAGTTGATGTTTAACAGGGTAGAATGTCCCTCTAAATCAGAAATCAGAAGTGGTTTATAGCATGTTGCAAAGACAGAGATTGGATTATATTTTGAACAGAAGAGAAAATTGGCCAATGGAGTAAAAACCATAATTCACGGGTCAGAAGGACACACTATATAAGCAAAGATAATGCATATAAGGTAAATAAGAGAGAGATTGTTCTTCATTAAAGCAGAAATTGGGTGGTAAGTTTAACTATCCCAAATAATGTAAGATTGCTAACTTATACACAATACTATAGTATTAGGTGCAAATTTACTAGCAAACAACAGCAACTAACAGCCTTCTGGAAATTTACTGTGGAAAAAATACTGTTTGCAAAGGCAGCAGAAAGGTAAGAGACTTTTGTTTTCCTAGAAAAAAGAACTACCAGTGGAATAGAAGAAAACTAGGAAAGTGAACTTATGGCCCTGTTGAAATTACTGGCAACATTCCCACTGATTTGAAAAGGACCAGGATTTTACGCAGGCTCCAAAACACAGTTAGGAACAAATCTGGTTTCAATAAAGTCAATAGCTATGGATCAAGAGTTGCCCCTTAGTGCATGGAAATTGAATACTTAACTTAAACTTTTTATTAAAGAATTTCACACTAAGGGAAGCAGCACCTAATATACAGTCTGAGATTACCAATATCATAATACTGTGAAACCTGGATATGAAGTGACCAACAGAATATAGTGCCACATAAAGATGGCAAAAAGTAACTGTTTGTTTTACATGAAGTTCATAAAACATTAAAAAATAAAAGATCTAGAAGGTTATATAAAGTATTGTGCTGAAGATACTTTACAGCAGAAAATGTGTGTCATTTATGGAAGTTAGCAAACATTTTTTTTTATTTGTAGTTGGGACCTACAAATACAGTAACTTGTAATGAGGGGTAGAGTGTGTTTGGTAAGAGGGCTCTTCACATTATAATTTTCCTGCGTGCTTATTGAACAAAGTTTATATAGTTAGGTACGTATAGCTATAGTAAGACATAGTATGATTTAACTATCAGTGCTAGATGCATTCTTCCCCTTGATTTATTTAGCAGATGTTCAGTCAGAATATTCCTTTAAATTAATGTTTATTTTGTCTCCAATATTTTTTACTATAAGATGCACTCATAAAAGTTTCAAGGCCCAAGCATGCTCCTCTTCAGGGTAATGGGGATTTGATTAGATTTTTAATCAGCTTTAATGTGTTTTTAATTAATTATTCTATATAAGGGTGTAGAAAACCGATACATTCTTCCATCATAGTGAAAGCAGGTTTCATCATGTAGTTTTTCAAGTCTCCCATGCAGTTCTGCATCTGTTCTCAGTAGATCACGAAGAATTTGTCATTGATACCATTTGAGAATGATCTGACTAGAGAGCTCATTGTCCCAAGGAGCTGACATTTCCTGCAAGACATTTGTATAGGGTCTCACATGGTCAGTTCTGACCATCTGCCCCTATATATTTCAATTTGTCTTAAAAGGTTGTTTTGGGTTTACCAGGAATGCAAGAGCAGTTCTGTCATGCGCTTCTCAACTTCAAATTGCTTTAAAATATTGTTAATGTATATCAATAATGAATAATTGCTCTTTTGCTTTCGTTGTATGGACACATTCATTATTTTCATCCATTAGAATTCAGCAAAAAGGTGGTACTATTTTTTTATATGTTTCAATTCCCTTGTATCTATTCCTGTGAATTATATTATTTGTAGCTGTCTCTAAAATATGTTGTTTTCAGTGCTTTAATCATCTACTCATAAATTGTCTCCTATGCTGGAACAATTGGAAGGTTTGAATTTTCACATCAATTTATTTCTGCCCTACAAGGGAAATATGTAGTGTACGTAGTATTTCAGTGGGACTTCATAGTTAAGCAGACTTGTACATGTTTCTTCTTGCATTCTTTATGCTCAAAAATTCCAACCAGCTTCCATGAGACCTTGGGATCCACCGTATTTAGTGAAGCACTGTGTTTAAAGTGTAGTTTTAGCTTCCAAAGTCCTTTGAGATGAGTGGAAAGATTGCTATTTTCTTAATGAGTTTGTTCTTTAGATCAGGTCCTACTTATAAAACAAGTAATAAGATTGCTTTCTCACTGTGTTTATAAAGAAATCATCTGAAATCACTTTACCATGTAAGTTAATTGCATATGGAAGAGTTTTATTTATACTTTTGATGACAGAATCATGCAGGACAACTCCAAGAAGACTGCTTAGGGGTGACAGCCTCAAGAAAACTACCATTGAACTTTGCTACATTAAGAACAAAGATCCGTCAAACCCAACAGTAGCAGTCTCTTGTAGAGAAAACAACACTAGTTTTAACCCTAGAAGATTCTCTATTGGAACCTAAGCACATAATATCTCTTAAAATGTCAATGAATAATTCTCCAAGTGTATTTTTGGATCCAAATGCAAATCGGTTTCAGGTTAATGTAATTAATGAAAGCCATGGCCATGACAATAGTGCAACATCTCAAGAGGACACTGATCCTCCACACTATGAAGAAACATCTTTTGCTGATGAAGCCCATAACAGACTGAGAATCAGTTTCAGGCCTGGTACCAGACAGCTGTACGACAATTTTCTTCAAAATGGAGATACTGCTAAACCAGATGCAAATATACATCCCTACGATACTCACAGCAACACATACTACCTACAAACCTTTGGCCATAACACAATGGACCCAATTCCTAAAATTGATTATTATCGAAACACTGGCAGCATCAGTGGCGTCAAAATCAGCAGACCAAGCTTGTTAGAAATCCATGAGCAACTGGCAAAGGTAAGTTGAAAAGAAAGATACAAACATTCTCTATTCCATTTTAAGAGTGACAATTATGTTTATTAGCATATATAACTCTTAAATTTTTGGATCTTATCCAAAATAAATAATATAACTATTTCCCTTATTTTTCTTTGTAACTGTTGCATGTTTTCTGTTCTGCACCCTGCTAGGAGCAAAGGTTTTTATTAAATAGATCTAGTTGAAAATAATCTATGCCATTAGTAGAGAAATATGCCCTTATTCCTGTTTCTCTAAAGCTGGAGAATTTAGTTTGTTCCATTTATAGTTAAGTAGATAGATTTAGCATATTAAGTCATAAATTAGAAACTAATGTGTCTATTCCAAGCTTAAATCTAACATCTGCTTATAACTAGAATTCCATTGACTAGTTCTTTATGTTCATTCAATAATCCAATCATAAGTATTATATTAAAATGATGTAAGAAATAAAAGTTGCTACTAATTAATCAGATATACAAAGGCTTCTCCATTTCTAGTAACAAAGGGTACAGAAATTCAGGAAAGTTAGGGGGTGGTTAGATTGTGTTAAAAATGGCCACCAAATCTAACTTAGTTCACACACGTACGGACCTTATACTTAGAACCCTAGTTAGGTCAATCTAAGTGCAAACTGTACAGAAGTTCCAGAAAGGTTAGCTTGGTCAAAAAATGGCCGACCCGATCTAATTTAACTGTACTGGAGGTGCACTAAGTTAGATTGGGCATGTTTAGACTGATCTAATTGAACTTCTGTAGACATGCTGAACACAGCCCCAGGGCTGTGTTTTTCCTACCCCTCTACCTGTCAGTGAGTCCTTGTTATTTGACTACAAAAAATAATACAGCAATTCATCTCTTACAGGTCAGAATGTTTTTAATGTTAATCACGTGTAGGTGTTTACACACCTAGCATTGCTAATGTTGAGTGGTACCCCATGGCATGCTGTTTCAATGTTCTTTCCAGAAGAGCAGTTTAGAATTCGCTCAAATACCATGGTGATGGCACCAAATAGATATGGTTATAAGACAGACTTGCAGGTAACTAGAACAAGAAAACAGGATATAGCTGCCTTTTACAAATCAGAGGCCTAAACTAGTTTTGAATGGCTTTCAATGGTTGGGAACTTTGTTCCCCCTTCCTTCCCCCCCCCCTCCCCCCCCCGGGCGTGAATTAAAGATCTAGTTTTGAACGAGAGCATGTAGGAGAGAGACTGACATTCAAGACTGAAGTGTCTAATGAATGCAACTTCCCCTCCAGCAGTCACCTGACACTCACTTCATTTAATCTGCATTGACACCTTGCATAAATGGATCATTAATTTACACAAAACAGACCCCTTGTCACCATAATCTATTATCTTCCCACACAGACTTTTGCTGAAATAATTCACCTTTGAAAATACATGTCTATGCCTGATTCACCGGTCAGCGTACATTCAAAACTACTGTGTAATTTATTTGAATAGTTTAGAACATGAACGCCGCGTGTCCCTGGGAGCTGGGGGGGCAGAACGAGCTCCCACAGGAGGTGACGGCACTGTTAGTGGCAAGTGGGGAGCTCCTGCAGGTGGCCACAGTGCTGTTGGCAGTGGGGGGGGGGTGGCAAGCACTGAACAGTGGTCTATGACCACCTACAGACATCGCCAGCAGTGTCAGCAGCAGCCAGCAGCAGCCGGCAGCAATTACAGACCACCTGCAGATGCCACTGGCAGTGTTGACGGCAGGAGGGGGGTGGTGAGCAGCAACTGCCCACAGGGACCTCCAGCAGTGTCAGTGGTGCCTTTTCACAGGGGGTGCACCGCCACGCTCAGGGGGTGCACATACACACATGTGCACCCCGTATGTGACACTAATGGTTTAGAATGAAAAGTTTCAGACTGAATCAGATTATAATGGCCAAGATTTAAACTTCCTAGATTGGGATTTCGGTAATTGTTGTACCACTTCATATGTATTACATGGTTAATTTATGTAATAAGGAAGCTTAAGTGAACATTGAAAGCTTGACTCCCCACCCCCTTGCTCCAAAAGTGCATACACATGTAAAATAGGCAAAATGTGGGAGTAAAATGCCTCAGTGAGAGTTTGGGGTACACAAAAACTACAGTGTTAAACCTTCAGTCCAGTTCCTTAAAATAGTTAAACAAACCTACTGGAAAAAATGATGATCAAGTCACCTTAGATAAAATACACATTCTCTCCCTGTTTGAACCTCAGTAACAGATTCTGTATAAAAAAATGCATAACTGAGATGTAAGATAAAACTATCATCCAAATCTTAGAGCTACCCTCAGGTCTAACCTTTTGATGTTCTCAAGTGTTCGGGTGTATTTGATGTGCTGGGAAGAGAAGGGTTACCTCCAGTTTCAAACTGAGAAGTGCCAAAATACTGTGATTAAGACTTTCTGGCCAAGAACAGAAGCAGAAGTCTCCAGAGAAAACCTATTCATATTACAATTCCACTCAGTTTTGCATATTTATGAGGTCTGAATAACCTGGATAAGCATTAGATTTTTGGATGGTAATCCAAAAGCAGTACAAATTTCAAACCTCTGGAGATCGAACCACCTTCAAAAAGTTCGATAGAAAGTAATGAAATCAAGAAAAAAGTCAGCCATTTAGAACTTAGGGTTTGTGTCTCTGCCATTTTGGACCCGACTCATTTACATGAAGGTTTCTGCCAGAGCAATGCAAAGTAGCTTTAGTGAAATAAGAATTGGGCCCCTTGCATTACCAATTATGCCTATGCAAAATGAATGCACAGCAGAGGTAAAGTAGGCAATACCAATTTGGTAGCTCTGCTCACTTTGCAAATTAATAAGTTACTATTCCAGATGCAGTGGGGTGGAGGATCAACACCTCCTTGTTCAGATATGCTTTTTTTTTTTAAATAACCAAATTACATTGGTCTTGCAAGGTAATTATCATGCAGTTGTTGGCATATGGAGGGATTAGGTCTTTACCATTACAAGCTGATTCAGTCTGAGAAAAGCTATCACACAGCCTCTTAATGTGAGCACCAGCTTTTGTTTACACAATTTAGACAAACTGAAGAAGTTCAGTTTACATTTTTAGTTTCTCAATTCATGAAGGTCAAAATAAATAGTCTGGCTCCTTTCAGGTACTTCATAATGTGAATGCAATTGAAAAATGCTTCCTGTTTCAACATAAGGCTTTGGAGGTTATGACCATTAAGTGAGAGAAGGACTAGTCTAGCCAACAGAATACAGGACCAGGAGTGAGAATTTATGGACTCTTTTCTTGATTGGTTCATTCTATAACCTTGGGCAAGTTACTTAAATTCCTACATTTCAAGGTCCCCATCTCAAAAAATTGGGGCTGTTAATAAACTGGGCCTCAAAGAAGTGCTGTAAAGCCTATTTTATTAATATTTGTAAAGTGCTCCGATATATTTACCTGAAATACTCTTCAGGGTGAGGTATTATAATGTAGAGGAAACAATTTTGGTAGTTAGAGGAAAAAAATAAATTAGAAGCTATTGAATTACAGATTAGAGTACTTGACATGATACAAGTACAGGAGTCAATGGCTGTAATGTTTCTTGTGCACGTGGTGCATTATGGAATTGTTAAACGAATTTAATTTGAGTGAAATAATCATAGTTTTTCCTGTTATCTGCAACAAATCCAATGCAGGTACTAGAATACAGCTTGTGCTAGTAGAACTTTATGAAAATATAGGGTGCCTATACACAAGCAGCAAGGCTGCTCTGATCTGCTGTAATTACAGCACATCAGAACAGACTTGATTAATCGTGTCTGCTGGAGCATGGTAATTACCATACTCCAGCAGGCTACAGCATCTCATGTATCAGCGTCCCAACATTTCAAATAAGCTTTAGATAAAGTGCCTCCGCCAACATTTTGAAGCACAGGGACACTGATACATGAGACACTCCGGAAGCTTTAATTAGACCAGCTCTCAGAGTCGGTCTAATTAGCGCACCCCTCCTCCTCAGTCCCGGAGCACGTGTATAAAGTGCCCATAATTCCTGTTCAGAATAACACAAGCTAAGATTTTCAAAAGGAACTAGTGACTTGAAGGGGTTGTACATCTGAGGGTGTCTATCTTGAGACGCCTTAAAGGGGTGTGATTTTCAGAGGATATTCTTAGAAGATTTCTGAAAATCAAGCTGTTGTACAGTGTCTTAGATTGGGCCCCCAAAACTTGAGGTATCCAAGTCACTAGCCACTTTTGTAAATCTAGACATTAATGGTGGGACAGTCACCTTATGATATCTAGGGCTAGATCTTATTCTATGTATTAAGCGTATTACTTTCATATCCAAATGTAAAAATGTGGTCCTATTCCATGGGGCACAAGTTCTCCCCAAAATACTAATATAATAAATACCACATTTTATGATTTCTCACCACAGTTTATGACTTAGTCTTAAGACTAAGAAGAATGAATGCTACAAATATTACCAAATGTTTTAGGGATTTAAGCAGAGCAAAATAGGACTGTACATAGACACCTAATAAGTGGAATAGGGTCTGGCCTCTAGTTCCTCTCTTTGCCAGCATCCTCTGTCACTAAAATTTGTTATGGCTTTGAAGTGGCATCTGCATAGCCACTTGTATGGTGTAATCAACTCAGCTATTTCCCATTTCATTTTTGAAAACAAGAATAGATTTGATTTTGATAGGACTTTTTCAGCTAGCAACGTCATATTTCACATGCGTTCCCTCTAGCTCTGTTAGATCAGTGTGGGGAGGGGGGTTGCTGTGGCCTTTCATTCTGTCCCCCTCCCTCTCCACAAACATCTTGCCATTAGATGGTCCAAAGAGGGATGCAAGCCATAGGACATCTGCACAAGAATATTTTTTTTCACTAGAGTAGACCCTAGCTCCCTATATGCTAACGTATACTTGGGCTTTCCTGTATGGGTCAACTTGATGGGGTATAACACATAGAGTGACATCCATGAAAGATCAGCTTCCAAGGCTGGTGAGAAAAGGGCGTCCTCAGTATGGACAGATTATTGTTACATCTACCTGATAAGTCATAGGCTCATCCACGTCTGTCTATGAATGGGCACCACAAGGCAGGGACTGGGGCACCACACTGAGTCTGCACTGGCTGTTCTAGTATTCCTAGCTATATCTTAGGGAAGTCTTTGACATTAATACATTAAATCCAGGCCTGTGACACATAGAACGCTACAGAAATCCCACATATTGCTCCACACCTTTAATCCTGCATATTGCTAGCGTAATTCCATTCCATACACTTCCTGACTGGCACACTACATTTGATTGCCTCAGATATATCTCAGTGTGGCAGCACAGCAGTTCAACTCACCTCAAGCAATCTTTTTTAAAAAAACCCACAAAAAAGCCTAAACTGACAAACATAACTGGCCTGTATGAGCCTACCGCTGGTGATAAGAAATGTCACAATTTGTGACTCCAGGAATGTGAGCTCCACATATGCATTCCCATTGTGCATTGAAACTGGATTAACATCAGAAGATGAATGTTTTCATGTTTAATAGATTTAAAAAAAAAATATATATATATATAGTTTTTCTGATTGTCAGAATGTAAAGGAGGCTGAAAGGAACCTATGAGATCCAGCTCCCTCAGCACAGGAGTCAAACGTGTCATCTTTTAGCAAAATGGGTCATCTTTAGCACTAATTAAACCACACAATGCCAATTAAAAGTTAAAACAAAGTTGCAAGCATCTGATAATAAGTGATAATTGCTTGGGTCCAACATTTACCCTACAATAAGAAATTACATGACCTTCCATCATCTCCTTGGCTATTCTTCACACTCGTTATGTAGACTTGATGAGGTCGCTGTCACTACTAGACAAGATACTAAGACTGAACTTATCTGAAACAAGAAAACAAACATGATAAAAAAGCAGTAGCCTTTGATTTTTGTGGGCTTTCAAAGTGTTCTGTCACCTTTATTCTACATACCTTAAGCATGAAGTAAATGAGCCACTTGGTAAATAAATAATCCTTCCCAAAAACTCACCCATTTAAAATACATTTATGGATGGTTGAGGGCCATAATTTATGGTAATATAATGTGAAAGCACAAATTAATTCAAACTATGTAGGAAACTACTAATTTCAAGTACAATGACTTAATCTTTTAATTTTTGTCTTTGAGGACTTGATCCTGTATATATGCAATAAACAAAAATAGGCAAATGCATGTGACATAATTCTGGCAAATAATCCCCTTTGTTTCACCTCAGTTTACCCCATGTCTCCTACTGAAGCTATGCCACTGTCTAGAAAAGAAGTCATGGTCTGTGAATCCACTGGGCAAGAGAGAGAACAAGCACATGAGAAAGCATGACTTCCTAGCCTAGTGGCTATGGCACCTACTTGTGTAGGAGAGGCTTGGAGTCCAGTCGCTGCTCCAAGGACTGTTCCTATATTTTACATTAAATAGAACAAGGAAAAGTCCCTAGAACCCAGCTAGGTCCCCAGACTTGCAGGTTACACCTTTCTCTTCTCACATTGTACAATGGCACTCCTTGGAAACGTCCTCACTTCCAAAGTCCTAAAAGCAGCTTAGTTTCTCTCAACAACCATTTTCTTCCCCAGCTTTGGCCTTCTTACCCACCAGAAATGTGTAATTTTTTCAAAAGATAAATGTCACAGGGAGCAACGCAATGTGATCTAGAGGCCAGGGATGTGGTCTCTGCATCAATTTATAGGCAGTGTGTGACCCAGCAATGCCGTAAGGCACAAAGCAGCCTAACCTACTCCTATTCAAGCTGCAAGGGGCAGATCTGAAGCAAGATTTCTTCAAAAGCTTAAGGAAATCAAACAGGGGTTTTTTGTTTGTTTGTTTTTGATTGGCCTATTAGAAAGGAAGTCCAAATCCAAATCCAGACTTGTGTGCATTTAAGCT